ACCCCTCGTCGCCGCAGTCCAGGAGACCGCAGGAGACGGGGCTCGGAGGGCGGGGACAGCCTGGCGGGGCCTCTGCAGCCCGGGAGCCTCCTTTGAACTCGCCGAACCCAACTCCCAACCCGCCCTTACCGCCGCCCAGAAGCTCGCGCGCTCCGTTTCTGAGCCTTCCGCCCTGAAGGACACCGATCTCCCCCGGGCATAATTCAGCAGCGGCCTGGTCTGGGCTCCGGACTGCACCCAGCCCGTTACCTGCAGGAGCTCGCGGAGTCCCTTCGGCGCGCGTGGCGCGGTTGGGGTCCCCACCGCGGTGCCGGGAGCTGAGTGCTCGGGGCTGGTCAGAGGCCTCGTCCCCCGGAGCTTCTCCCTGCCTAGGCGCGACCCCCAGGCGCCTCTAGCTGGGGCCTGGTCGCAGCCTCCGCAGGAGTGCTGCTTCCAGAAGCCCCACCGTGCAGGCCTCAGTGTAAACAGGTTCAGTTCAGCCAACTTTTCTTTTTAAAAATCACCAGGTGCTCAGCCATAAAAAGGAACAAAATCTTGACCTTAGCAGCAACATGGATGTAGCTAGAGGCCATGTCCTAAGCCAATTAGCGCAGGAACAGAAAACCAGATCCTGCATGTTCTCACTTGTAAGCGGGAGCTAAAGGTTGGGAACCTACGGACACACAGATGGGAACAATGAGCATTAGGACTCCAAAGGTGCAAGCGGGGGAGGGGGCCAACAGCTGAGAAGCGACCTATCAGGTACCATGTTCACTAATTGGTTAATGGGTTCAATAGAAGCCCAAACCTCAGCATTGTGGTTTATATACCCAGGGAACAAACCTGCACGTGTATCCCGGAATCTAAAATTAGAAAAGAAAAAATCGGCCGGGCGCAGTGGCTCACCCCTGTAATCCCAGCACTTTGGGGGGCGGCGAATCGCGAGGTCAGGAGTTCGAGACCAGCCTGGCCAACATGGTGAAACCCCGTCTCTAATAAAAATATAAAAAAGTTAGCTGGGCATGGTGGCGGGTGCCTGCAGACCAGCTACTTGGGAGGCTGAGTCAGGAGAATCGCTTGAACCCAGGAAGCAGAGGTTGCAGTGAGCCGAGATCGTTCCACTGCACTCCAGCCAGGTGACAAAGTGAGACTCTGCCAAAAAACCCAGAAATCACCAGGCGTTGGACTTGGCACCAGTGATGGTGGGAGGAAGTAGACCTTCATCTGGGTCTTCATTCCTTTGAGGTGTTACTTTCCTGCTTGAAGGCCTCTAGGATGTCTCCCTATTTTCTACAGAATGAATCCCATTTCCTCCATCCCTCTACTCACATTCTATTTTTTATTTTTTAATTATTTGTTTATTTTTTTGAGAGGGAGTCTCGCTCTGTCGCCCAGGCTGGAGTGCAGTGGCACAATCTCAGCTCACTACAATCTCTGCCTCCCAAGTTCAAATGCATCTCCTGCCTCAGCCTCCAGAGTATCTGGGATTACAGTCATCTGCCACCACGCCCAGCTGATTTTTGTATTTTTAGTAGAGACATGGCTTCGCCATGTTGGTCAGGCTAGTCTTGAACTCCTGGCCTCAGGTGATCCGCCCACCTCGGCCTCCCAAAGTGCTGGGATTACAGGCGTGAGCCACTGTGCCCAGCCCCTCTGCCCACCTTTTAAGCTCGTGGCACCCCTCATCTACCTCCAGTCAGGCTCCCCCTTAGCCTGTGCATTAATTGCCAGGCCTAGAGTCCTGATCTCCTGCCTCCACCTGTTGATGTGTTTGAATTATTGTCTTCCTTAGCCACCCAATTCGGCTTAATTCCTCCTTCTCAAAGAAACCTCCTAAACTGCTGTTGTTAGAATTAATCTCTTTCGACTCTATTTCCCTATACCCTTTTCACTCTACCCTGCCGTCTACCACAGTGTTGAGGTAAGTTACCTGTGAGCTGAGAGAGCAAAATAGATGCGCCTTTAACAGCTGAGACAGACTCGAAGGATGAGGAAACAACAGTTATCTACTGGTTGAGGGTTCAGGGCGGCTTGCATGGCAACGCCCCAAAATTCTACAACTATAGGGAAAACCACACTCTTGCTAAACACCCTAACAATAGGAACTATATCAAGCAAATTATCAGACCTCTCAACTCTGATTTATAACCCAGATCTCTGCAACTCTGTTGGACCCAGGACCAGCCTCACAAGCATTCTTTTCTGATAAGCCACTGCAGACCTTAAGCCAGTTTCAGCAGCTTATAGAGACTGCAAGCAAACTGTCTTTGTGTCTTGTGGTTCACCTTTTGATACAAAGAACCAAATTCCACCTCTTTTTTTTTTTGATATGGAGTTTCACTCTGTCACCCAGGCTGGAGTGCAGTGGCACAATCTCAGCTCACTGCAACCTCTGCCTCCCGGATTCAAGTGATTCTCCTGCCTCAGCCTCCCAAGTAACTAGGACTACAGGTGCCTGCCACCACGCTGGGCTAATATTTGATTTTTTAGTAGAGATGGGGTTTCACCATGTTGGCAAGGCTGGTCTCGAACTCCTGACCTCAGGTGATCCGCCTGCATCTGCCTCCCAAAGTTACAAGCGTGAGCCACCACGCCTGGCCCCACCTCATTTTAATGCTAAAACACCACCCCAAAGTGAACATGGGATATATGTTATATATATGTATATGCACTATGTATGTGCTCAGTGCCCCTTATAAATATGTATAGCTTTCCCCCAAAATTTGCTGAATATCTCTGATTCTATTGTGCAATACAGACCCTGTAAGGCATGAAACCAACCTGCCCTTTCCCTCTTCAAAGAGAGAGCACCTTCTGTCCATGCTGGAGACCATCTCTTCCCATTTTGCAAACTGATATCCCCAGTAAAGCTCTCCTTTCTGCTATTTAGCCATCTTGATGGTCTTTTGGAAAACACCACTCAGGCCCAGGTGTGAGACCTTGGAGGGCAGCAACTACATCTTGGTCACTGCACTCTGCACAAGCAGATCATCTGTGTGTTTGCTGTTTACCAAAGTGACTTTGTTTTAATGCGCCGATGATACAAATAGACAAAACCCATAGAAACTAGCTGGGCTTAAACTCTCTCTGTAGGCTGGGTGCAGTGGCTGACGCTTGTAATTCCAGTCCTTTGGGAGGCCAAGGAGGGAGGAATGCTGGAGGCCAGGAATTTGATGCTGCAATGAACTGTGTTCGCGCCACTGCACTCCAGCCAGGGCGACAGAGCAAAACCCTGTCTCTAAAACAATAACAACAAGATTATTTCTCTACGCGACCAGAATAATGAAATGAGCATGTAAAATTACCCAATCAATTTGATCCCTGTGTGAAGCCTATTTGAATGATTTAGGCCCGTGAAATAACCTCCCAGGGCCGCAGTGCTGAGATGGGTCTGTCCACACTGACCACATTAACTGATTTCATACACCAGCACGTTGTCCTCCGTGTTGCGCCGTCATCACACAGAAGCCTGTCTGCCGATGGCTCTTTCCCTTGCAGGAAGTGGAAGCCACATCTATTTCAGCTCCTTTCAAACCACAGCTATGACTCTCCAGTGGTCTGCAGCCTTGCCCTTTATGGAAATGTAGTAATCAACATTTTTAACACTTTATAATTGTAAGGGCCTCTCACTTAGTTCGTTACGTGTCATGTCATACTCACAAGTTACTCCATGAGGCAAGTTATCTTTGTTTTATACACATGTGAACTGAAGTCCACAGAAGGCCACACAGCTAGTAGGCGCCGGGCTTCTGGTCCCTTATTTAATGTCCCCTCCCACACCTGGGGTAATATAGATAGTCCTATAAAGGATTATCCATTTAGCCATCAAAATAACCACAAATGCTATTCTACATTTTATACATGGGATATTTTTAGGTGCAGAATTTAAAGAACTGCAGGACTTGGAAGAGAGGAGATTCTGTTGGAATTATTTTTCTTCTGTACATTTTTAAATATACATCAAAGTATGTCATAGTTCCATTTTAAAAGTGATGGAGATAATTTAGAGGTGACAGCATATCCAAAGCCCGCCAAGTCTCACTTTTGGAATCAGTTCCCAGAAACAACTTTTGGATGTATGTTTTAATTACACCACCCACCC